TTATGCTGCAGGAAGTTCTAAAAAAAACCCCAAGCCCTTACACAATCCCCCACTCACTCCCTCCAAAAAGCCATAACCCAAACAAATAAAAACCCTGAAAGACTGTCATAGTTCCAAAATAACCACAAAAAATGTGTGCTGGGCTTAAAACAGAAGTCTGGGGGAAATGATTGTCAGATCCCTGGGTGCATTTGAGAGCTGATTTATGTACATGAAGCAGAAAATAAGAAACACACACTTGGGCTGTGCTTGTGTTCTCACTGAGACAAAGGAGCAGCTCCCCTCATTCTTTGCTTTATTAGCAGTCATCTGATCTTCCCTCCCCTCTGCATCCCCTGATCCTCACCAAAATGGCTGGAAAGAGCTTCTCTTGTGCCCTGGAGTTTTTTCCTGAGATTATTTCTACTACTTCAGCAAGCTCAGGAGAGTTACTGGATGCTCAGAAGGACTTTTTGGTCTGGACTTCACACATTTGGACCCTGTTCAACAGTAAGTAGCCAGCAGAGAGGAGAGGGACTGCTCCCTGTCACCTGAAACAAACTTTTAATTCATTTCAAACAGCTATTTGAAACCAGATATTGGTAAAAGATAAAAAAAATTCACAGGTGCTTTATCAAGATGTCCTTCTGCCTCAGCCCTTTGCTCTCATTTATGTATCCACACCATCTATGCACAAATTACAAATAATTAATCAGCCCATGATCTTTTCCATGATTTTGCAGGATGTTGCCTGAAGGAAAGAGCAGAGCTGGAGGCTTGTGGTGAGTGGGTGATGTATGAAAGGGGCTTGTGGCAGTGAGCAAGGGTGGAGCACAACTCACAAATGAAAGGGAAGCAGATTGACAGCATCTCTGTGCCACTGTTTGGGTAATGTGTTTTACTGAGGTTTTGATAAAACTGGTATTTAAAGGAAAGTCCCCAAATCTAACCCCATCATGGAAACCCGCTGGTTATTGCAAGATGATTTGTGTAAGTAGACAAATTGGGAAGTGCATTTTCTTTGGATATTTTTTTTCTCTGAGAAACCTTCAGGCATCTCACCTTCAGACTTGACTCTTTTATCCTAACATTTAGCCCTTCCAGAATTTCTTTTGCCTGAGGAGTTCAAAGCTTTTTGCAGAGTTTTCTTTGCCAAGACACAGGACTTGTGAGAAGGTGGTGGAAAGCAGGGGGAGTGCTGGAAGGTCCTGGATGTTCCCCTTGTGGTTTCCCTGCCCCTTCAGCTGCCAGCAGCAGCAGGGGATGGGAATTCTTTTGGGATGTGGCAAATCTGACCCAAAAAGGAGAGCTCTATTCCACAGAACCATCTTCCAGGGTGAATTTTATTTTCATTTAGTGTTAAATCGATTGCAGTCACAGGTAAGCAGTGCAGAGTTCAGCTGGGTGCCCTCCAATGGGATTTTGGGATTTTCCACAGTTTGGAATTGCTGTCTCTGAGTGAGGGTGGGAGGGCAGGGAGCCGAGCTGGGTGTGGTGCTGCCTGTGAGGTGTCTGAGAGAGAACCGACTGCTGCACAAACCTGCACAGCTTTTCCCCAGTTACCTTCACACAAAGCTGAATATTACCCAGGGGTTGTGAGGCTGGTTGGGAGCTGAGGGCATTTCTGGGCAGCACTGAGCTGCCTCTCAGTGGGAAGGGAGGAGAGGGAGCTGTGGGAGCAGGAGGGGCTCTGTGCCAGGGCTCAGGCTCAGGAACAAGCTGGAGCAGGCACACAGGTACCCGGGCAGCTCCAGAGCAGAGCTCAGCCTCAGTCTGCTGGGCCTGAACTAAACCAGCATTTACAGAGCACCACGAGAAGGAAGGATTCACCCAGGGATAAACTGTGAGGGACACAGGAACTCTCACAGCTCTGCAGTATCACAAATTTCGTGAACCCATGGGTAGGTGTGTGTCAGGAGTGGAGATTTGCAGTGGCACCACGAGCAGCCCCTGCGTGTCAGGCACATGAACTGCAGCACTTTGGGCTGGAATCCTGCTGAGCAGTGGCTGCAGTCTCATTTTTGGTTAGAGAACTCAAAGATATCCCAGTGCTTCCATGCTCTCCAGGGATGGCAGTTTGCAGGGCTGGGGCTAAGTGGAATGGATAGATTAAAAAACCTCAATCTCTAACAGGTCAGATCCTGAGAACTGCAAACAGGACCCCAAACTGGTCCTTTTCCAGCGCTGCTGCCTCACACACTCAGCTGTTTGTGTGGCTGATGTGAGGGCTCATTGCTGGAGTAGGTTTATCTCATTTTACCTAAGCTGGGATGGTGCCCCTGGCAATTCCAGCCCCTTGGGGATAAAGGTGTCACAGGATGGAGCTCCCCAGAGCAGAGCTTAATCAGAATATCACACACCAAAAGCTGATTTTTGAGTTTTTTACTTTTATTAGTCATTACAAACATACTTTGTGTGTCTTTCACCCATCTTAGAAAAACGTGGGATGGCATGGAAGACACATGACAAAGTACAGCAAGTTCCCCTGAGAAGCAGGTGCAGCTACAAGTGTGGAAAGCTGTGTCTGGAATCATGTGAGTAACGTGGTTTGTAGCAGCTCATGATCCTGGCCAGCAGAATTTCCTGCCTGTGTTGGGAGCCTGGTTGCCACAGTTAATCAGCAACCTGCCTAATCTCACTAACCTTCTTTTTGTAACCTGCCTAACTCCTGTGTAATCTGCTTATGGCACTGAGCCCTGGCTATTAGTAGCAAGTTTGGAGCTGTGCAGGTGCAAATATTTTTATTTTCAGTCCTGTGGACAACTGGCTATCAAGGTGTTTTGTGGTCATGAAATCCAACCTGGTCCCATGGTGTTACTGATCAGAAAATCAGAATATTTCTGGCCTGTTAACATCTGCTCCTCTGTGCCACAGCCCTGGGCCTGTGGGGGATTGTCCCAGGGCTAATCCTGGGCTGCAGCTCCGTGGGACAGGGGTGATGGCTGGGGACACCCTGCTGGCCCTGGGAACAGGCATCAAACTATCTTCAATTTTATCTCATTTTATCTAATTTATCTGATGTCATTAGTTTAATGTTTGTAAGCCAGCTGCTGCCATATCTTGTAATAATGGAATAAACCAAATGTATTCTGTATACAAAACTCATGCTTGACTTCAGCTTGTGGGCAATGGGGCAGAAACAACACTGTTATTTTAGAAATAATTTAGAAATAATGCTAACACTGTTAGAAATAAGTTTTAATAATATATCTTGATCTTTAGAGTGCCTGTTCCGTGCCAAGCTCAGGGAAATGTTTTGCTTGCTCCCATTAGAGAAGCCTTGAGGATTCTACATGAGACCAGAATTCATTCCAAACCAGGAATGGCTTTAAACATTTGCTTCAAGAATTTGAATTCTTTTGTTATTCTCTTCATCCGGAGCAGCAGTAAAAGGTAAAGGTATAATAATTTTTTCCTCAAAGGAAAAAAGAGCATAACCTGCTTAGTGCTGTGATAACCATGGGCAGGAGGGGATGGTTTCCAGAGGAAGCAATATTGTAAAAACAGAAAGTGCTTCAAAAAGCACAACATCCCAAACTTCTGGCTTCTTATGTCAGAATATAAATATAATTATTATGTAGAAACACTATTCTTGCACTTCAAAATTATTTCACATGCAAAGTTACCCCCTTCTTCCCATGTGGTATTTTAAATCCTTTTTTTCAGATACACCTTCCTCATTTTCTTTGCAAATTTTTGAACAAGTTCCTACTTTTGTGCTGTGTCCATTAATTAAAATATTAAAGACAGAATATTCAATAATCTGTGAGAAACTTTCCTGTTCCTCTCCCTCCTGCTAGGTGGCTTCCCTGAAAGCACAACTCATCAGCATTTCTCCTCTAATGAGCCTTAAAATGCTCCTATCACATCACCTTTGGATTTTGATTTTCCTGTTGAACTTATTGGGGTTTTTTCTTCAAATATAGTTTTGGGGTGTTTTCCAGTGCTCTCATCCTATTAGTTATTCTGGATTCTCTACATTTAAATCATCCTCCTTGCAAAAAGAAAAAAAAGAAAAATAAGAGGTCAAATCATGACTTGGTTTTTAGGCCAGACTATTTTTCATCTCCTGACAGGTGTACATGGTGGTTCTTTGTTTAAAATATTCTTTACTGCTGTACTTTGCTTTGTGAGGTTTAATCCACCCTGACCTGTGTGTCTCCATTTCTATTCTGTCATCTCTGATTTTTCCTTGCTTTTTAATTCCTTATTGGAATGTTTATCCCTTTATGTTTGTAATGCAATTTCTGAACGGCTTTTTTGACTTTAATCTCATTATCCTCCCTGCCTGAAAACTCTGCTGCTCCAAGGGATTTCCATAAGTGGTTCTTTAATACCTCAAGGTTTCTTCAGTCATTCATGAGGATCTTTCTTTCCCTACAAAAAAGCTGGTTTCTTTCAGGTATTTTTCTAGCACTTTATATCCTAGAAATGCTTCCTGGAAATCTTGGGAGACCATCATCAATTGGATCTCCTTAGTCCACACAATTCTGTTTTTCTTTTCCAGAAATGCTAAAAAAAGCTAAGGCATAACCTCCAAAATCTGTCCTAACCCTTCCTGGTTAAATCATGTTTATCATGTTCATTTATTCTGTTGTTATGAAGGTTTATATTTAAAATATTTAAAAGTTCAGTGACAAGCTCAATCTAAATTTTACACAGGTTCCCAACCCCTTCTAAAACCTTAAAAAAGTGTTGGATCTGCTACTTTCTCTACATTCACAGGAATTGTAGTGGTATTTTCAATCCCTAGTTTAGCAGTTCAATAATTACATATTTGTTCTTTTAGAACACTTAGCTGAGTGCTGTCAAATCTTAGAAACAGATTTGACTTTTTTCCTCTGAAATAATTTCAAATAATCTGAGAAAAAGAACATAATTTAGAGCTCCTCTGCCTTCTTTCAGAACAGGATTTGATTTCCTGAAGGGACAAGTACCCAAATTTGTGATTGGGAATTGTACCACTCCTCAGAGTTACAGAATACTGACAACCACAAGCAAACTGCCTTGTGAAGCAAGGATTAATAATTGCACAGATACTTTATTCAAGTTTTAAAAAAAGCTTCAAATTCACATTAGTTATGTTCGCACTTGAAAAATAAATAAGAGTAAGAATGCTTAAAAAACTTCCAAACACAAAGAAACTGTGTAACAAAAGAAGGAGAACAAAATAATGACAGATTTTTTAGCAAGGAAGTCAGTAATAGTAGGGGAAGGGAGTACTGATACAAGAAAAAGAACAAATCCCAAACATTTTTGGGGAGTTTTTGTGGAGTAGCTGAAGTCCTGAGCAGTCAGTGTGTAAGAAGAGCTATTAAAGCACTCCCTTGCACAGCTTCATTCAACTGGAGCTCCCTGAGGTCAAAAGATTCCCCTTTTGCAGGGGTAAAATGGCAATTCCTGCTCCAAAACCTGCCCTGCCTTGGCTGGATTGGAGCCTCAGCACTTACACAGCACTCTGCAATTTATTATTAAATTATTGTGTAATTTGTCATGAAACAATGAGCTGACTTTGGGAACACAGGTGCACCAATGTCACTGAAGAGTGCAACAAAGAACAGTAATACAAAATAAATTATTTTCTTGGTGAAAAAGAAAACAACTTGAGTTTTTTGACTGGAAAACAAAGAGAATTCCTGCACTGGCAGGCTCCTGAACTAAGAGGTACAAATTCACAGAATTTTGGGTGTGTAGTAAAGCACCAAGTTTTCCTCTGCTGTCTGATACAATATTTAATAATATATCTTGATCTTTAGAGTGCCTGTTATCTGCCAAGCTCAGGGAAATGTTTTGCTTACTGCCACTGAGGATTCTACATGAGACCAGAATTCATTCCAAACCAGGGGGGGCTTTAAACATTTGCTTCAAGAATTTGAATTCTTTTGTTATTCTCTTCATCTGGAGCAACTGTAGAAGGTAAAGATGTAATAATGTTTTTCCTGAAAGGAAAAGAGAGCATGACCTGCTTAGTGCTGTGATAACCATGGGCAGGAGGGGATGGTTTCCAGAGGAAGCAATATTGTAAAAACAGAAAGTGCTTCAAAAAGCACAGCCAGCAGTGAGAGAGGCTCCTGAGCCCCAGCCCTCCTCAGTGCCCTTCCTCATCACTGGCCTTCTCCTCAGAGCCAGCACTCTCATACTCCTCATCCTCATACTGGAAAGCACCCTCAGCTTCGGGGTCAGACTGAGCTCCTTCCTCATGGGAGCCATCAGACCTGGGGCTGGACTCATCCTCATCCTCCTCTTTCTCCTCCTCCTCCTGGGAATGGCCACGGGATGGGCCTGCTTCTGCTTCTTCCTCCTCTTCCTCTTCCTCCTGGGAATGGCCACAGGATGGGCCTGCCTTGGCTTCCTCATCCTCTTCCTCCTGGGAATAGCCATGGGATGGGCCTGCTTCTGCTTCTTCCTCCTCTTCCTCCTCCTGGGAATGGTCCAGAGATGGGCCTGCCTTGGCTTCTTCCTCCTCTTCTTCTTCCTCGTGGGAATGGCCATGGGATGGACCTGCCTTGGCTTCTTCCTCCTCTTCCTCCTCCTGGGAATGGTCCAGAGATGGACCTGCCTTGGCTTCTTCCTCCTCTTCCTCTTCCTCCTGGGAATGGCCAAGTGACAGGTCTGCCTTGCCTTCCTCCTCCTCCTCCTCCTCCTCCCCCTGGTCACTGTGCTGGCTGGATCCAGGCCCAAGGCCAGCCCCATCCTCCAGGTCACTGCACTGCCCATCGGGGGTGGAGGTTTTGACACCTTTTCCCTTCTCCTCCTCCTCTTCCTCCCAGGACTGCTCAGACTGGGGACTGTCAGCAGCTGCTTCCTCCAAGAATTGAATTTTTCTCACTTTAACCTTGGTGACTCTGAAAAGACAAATTGCATGGGGGGTTTATTCTCTGGGAAGATGCTTTCCACCTTTATGGAACCCAGGCCAAAGCCTGGTAGCCCTGGCTGGGGTGGAGCTGGGGAAGGAAAACTGAAGGGGGCACACAAGAGTCTCTTTTTATGCTAGAAAGTAAATAGTATTACTTATATATTCCTTTTTTTTTTTTTTAATTTCTGCTTCCTTTTAAATCATAACACCCAACAGATATTTAAAACTATTTTTAATAAGTTTCACTTAAAAAATCTAAAATTTAAAGGTAGTGACTTACAGCAACCTGCCAGAATTTTGGATGAAAGGAACAAACAAGGAATGTTTTTCTTTTTTTTTTTTTTCTTTGAATTGCATTACATAACATAACCAGTTTGGTTAAGCAGCTCTCCTCTGTTTTATGAAATTATATTTGATTCAGGAAAACCAATCAAAAATACACACAGTAATGCTAACATACCACATAGTCAAATAGTTCCCTGGAAAATACTGAAAATCATTGAAAAAACTCTTAAATCTTCACATGGAAATTTTCTATTTATTAGATACATAGTGGGTAAAAAGAAAAAGCCTTCAGTCATCTGTACCTTGCTCTGCCAGCAGTGGAGGTGAAATCCCCAGCAGTGGAGAAATGCAGGGATTTGGCTGCTCCTCCTTTCTTTGAAACAAACTCTGGGCAGATCCCCAGTGCCCTCAGCCTGTTTGAATAATACTTTTCTGCAGCTATTCTGGCATTTTTCTGTAGAAAAACCACAATGGTTAAATGTTATCTAATGCATTAAATGATACTTTTATTTATATCAATCCTCTGATTCATTAATTGCTGCTGACAAGTGGAAATGATTGTTCACTGCAGGTAAGAATGGCAAAACAATACTTGAAAATTTTATCCCAGATTTTACTTTTCTGTAGCAGCAATGCTTGGTTGTGGTCAGGATTACTCATGCTGGAACTGAACCCGACACATTTACAACAGTTCTGTGTTCCCTGTGCAAGCACATCCCAAAAATTACTGATATTTACTGATGGAGATGGGGCAACAAGAGATTGAAATGGAGAAACTCTGCCCTGAAAAGTGCTTTTGAAGTTTCTTCTAAAAATGTCAGAGCACAAATGTCTTATTCAGTATCAGTCAGGATTAATTAATAGTTCAGAAACAAGGCAACCTGAGTGACTCTTTCAAAAAGCAATGGCATTTGTTTCACTCTTTCTTCCATTTCTTGCAGTTCCTGCAAGTATTCCTGCCTTCTCTGCCTCTCGTTGTTCCTAAGGGGAGCAGAGCACAAGAGAAATCATTATTAATTTATAGTACAAGGAGTCATTTTCTACAGCAGTTAAATTGCTCATAACAAATTAAATGTTGTCATACTTCAAGATACATTAGAGGTACTGAACAACTCATCTCTGAAGGAGTCCCTTTGGCCAGGCAGAGGCAGGTCCTGGCTTCTGGACTTAAAAGAGGCTGAGTTTGGATTCTAGGCATAAAAATTTGGATATTTAGGGTTGTTTACATGCTGATTTCATACAGATCTTTGAGTTGTAAGAAAGCAAGTTGTAAGTAAGCAAAGTTAAACAGAATACGTGACAGGAAATCAGGAGCATTAAATTAAGATCAATACTTTACAAGTCCGAAGGTGAGAATCTTGCTACTTTAGCAGCTGATCACTCAAGAGGGGTGGCCATGTCCTGGATCATGGAACACCTTTTTCCTGAGTTGGTTTGTCAGGGGCCAGTGAGTAGAGCAGGAGAATGAAACTGTTGATTCCCAACTGAAAAGATCTCTGGGATCACAGGGAGCGTTGGATAATGCAGGAGGAATGGGCTGTAACCCTCAGGGCGGGACAGGCAGCTCTGGGATGTGCCTCTGACCTGGGCACAGGGGCCCTTTACCCCTCTGCTCCCTCCAGCCTCTCCCCTGACCACCTCTGAACCCCTCACCGTGCTGGGAAGTGAACCTCCCTTCCTTGCTCTGAATGTCCGTCTGTCTGTCTGCCTCTGACAGACAGAGTGACACATTCCAGCTGGGCTGCAATCAGCACCGTCAGCTTCAGCAGCTGCACCAGGGAGTGACCTTGCTTTGCAGCAGCAGCATTTTACACCCAGCGTTTTACTCTCCTGCCATCTGATTAAGCTGAACAGTGCAGTGTGAAATTTGCTGTTGAACAAACCCAAACCACATCTGCAATCACTGTGCCCCTTAACTCCCTGTCCCAGAGTCAGCAGATCGTGAGGACACTCAGATTATAAGGCTCCTGTTATCAACAGTGTGCCAGCTTACTGGAAATTGGGGTTTGTGCTTGAATCCTGCCCAGGCATGAGGCAACAGGGGCAGAGCAGTCAGTGCCTCAGCACCCCCACATAACAGCACCTTAAACTGACAATGCTGCAGCAGCACCCCCGTGCCAGGCCAGATCACAAACCCCACCACAGCCTTGTTTAGACAGGATTTATTGTTTTTAGGATTAGAAAAGCAGAAAGGGTTAAATTAGCCCCAAACACGAGGGCAAACAGCAGCCATGGGGTTAGGGCTGTGTCAGAGCTGGAGCCATCTGGAGTGGCAGCTTACAGCACTCCAGGAAGGCCCGTGTTCTGCTCTGTGTGACACACACAGAGTCTGGGCACTGCATCTCCTCCAGGGAACCTGGGATCCCACTCTCCTGAGCACCAGCAGCTTCCTCACTCACTGCTGTTACACTGGGAAGTTAAATATTCCTGCTTTTACTTCCCTCTTCAGTGGGGACCTGCTGGGACAGAGAAGTGAATTGTGAAATGTTCGCTGCTGTACCAACACCAGTGCAGTATCCAGCTCTGCAAGGATATTCTGTATCCACACTGTCCCCTTTCCCTTCGATTTTTACAACCTTTTCCTCTTTAGTTGATACATCAATGGAGAAAACACAGGACTCTCCTGTTACTGAGTCTATAATAATCTAATATGGAAAATATATATATTTCTATATGCTGTATATTTCTATACTCTGAGTTCAATATAGGTTGGCATCAGTTTCTCAGCTGAAATGCTAAATTTGGACACTTTTTAATCAGCTGCTTGCACCATGTTTAATTTACCACATCTAAGTATCTAAACTTAGACTATGCTATTTTTTACACACTGTATGTTTAACATACACTGCAATCCCAAACCTCTCCTTCTCATTGTTGAATGAGGTGTTTGGGATTCAGGGGAATGCAACAAAATACCTGAATGTTTTTAATCTGGGTTTAGACATCTGAGCTAGGCTCTGATGTGGGTCATTGGCCTCAGCCCGAGCCATCACAATTTTCTGGAATTTTTTCGTTCTTTGTTTCTGCTTGTTTCTGTTCCTTTTTTGTTGTTCTTCCAGCTTTCTCTTTTCCTCAAGGGAATTCCTGGTGGGGAAAATAAACTAAGGCTGAATTCAGTTTAAACCTAGAGCAAGACTTCAAAGGAAGCTTTGGCAAAGATGATTCCAAAGAGAACAACAGGGTGAAAACAGGGTTGCTATGAGAGGACACAATGCATGTGCCATTTCAAGGCATCCAGGAGATGCTGGGAAATCAGAGTGATTTGTCTTCTTCTTAGGGGCATGCTGACAAAAATGCACTAGTGTTCCTTTAACAATAATAAACACTAATTAAATCCTATATTTCAATATTTTAAAATTTAAAAGCCCTTATGTTAACAAATTCAATCCTATATTCACTGTAGGCAAGAATTAACTACATATGAAGAAATACCAAAAATAACACCAAATAAAATATCAAATATATACTACTAATAAAAAAAATTATTTTTCAAACATATATGAAGTAGAGCATCTCCAAGCAGTCACCTCAGGGCTTGCAACCGTCGCCTGGTGGATTCTGTGGTTCTGGGAGGTTTGGATTTTCCCTCTTCCAGGTGAGGCTTTGCCCCTGACTGAGGCTTCCGTCTCGGAGAGGCAAACGGCCACCGAGTTTCCTTCAGTTTCTCCTCATCCTCTTGCATGTCCTTCAAGATCTTGTCCTTTTTTGAGGGGATGTATGAAGTACAAAGGTCGAAAGGCTCACAGACTGTGAGGGGTTTCACTTTTTTTTGTCGCAGGAGGCGTTTCTGGAATTTCTCATGTAGGAGGTCAAAATCGGGAACGCTCGATTTGATCCTGACCTTGTGCTCCATTTGCTTTGGCTCAGTGCTCCTGTGCTTCTTCTTTTTGTTGGTCCCTTTTAAGGCCAGTCTGCTGTTGGGTACGGATGAATTTCGCAGCAGCTCCTCAGCTCTCATCCTGATCCTGATTTCCCTGCAGAGCTCCTCCTCCTTCACCTTGTCATGGAAATCTGCGCTATAAACACATTTGGGGACTGGTTTTGCTCTGAACACTTTGATTTTATTTTCAGGCGGGGAAAGGTCTTTTAACTGCATTTTTCTGGCTTCATGCCTTTGCCTCTCTCGCTCCATGAACTTGAAGGGTTTTTGTGTGGCCAGGAGCTGGAGCCTGCTCCTCTCCCTCACCGAGCTCCTGCGCTCCTCGCGGCGCCGCACGATGTCCTGGTACAGCGGCAGGAACACGGCGGCAGGCACGGGCTTGGCTCGGAACTTCTTCTGGCACTCCGCCTCCTCCTCCAGCTGCTTCTTCAGCAGGTGGTTTTCCAGCTCAATCTGTGACTTGGATTTGACGTTCTGCTCTTTCTTCTGAGCTTCCCTGATGGTCATCTGGAAGGGCTTGGGCACGGTGACTCTGGGGGACCACGCTTTCTCTTTCTTGTGCGCTTTCCTGCGGGCTGGTGAGCTGGGCAGGCTGGGCTTGGCACGGGAGATGTAATCTTCCAGGCAGAACCCATCCCACATTTTTTCAATCTGCTGTTTAGCAAATGAGGATGATCCAGCTTCGCTGCCGTTCTCCTCAAACACTAATTCTCCATCAGACGCGTCCGACGCGCTTGGGCCCGAGGGATCGCTCAAGTCTGAGTCTGAAAAGGATTTGTGCAGGTTAAGAGGCTGATATGAACTCTTGTCCCAAGTTGGCCTTGAAAATAAAGGGGGGAAAAAGAACAACCTTGGTTTGAGCCAGTCCAACACTGATGCAAAGCTGCTGACTTCCACTCTAAGCAATCATCACTAGAACCAAAACCGAGTGCCTGAGGGGGAGAGAAGGGAAAAGAGCAGCACTCAAAGCAGATCCTGGTTCTAGTGCTGGTCACCAAGTCAGCACTTCCTGACCTAGGAAAGGCCCTGTGCTTTCCTAAATGTGCTGCCCCATCCCTGCTGCACAGCCACCTCTAAACCTCACAGACCACCAGCAGGGTGACAGCGTTTCTGTCACCAAAACTGACTTTTCTCTGATTATCTGGTTATGAGAGGTGGGAGTGGAACGCTTTCCAGCCCAGAAACACACGCAGCAAAGGTTTTACAGCTGCAAAGCATTTGGGAATCTTCAGCTAAAAATGCCCCCAAACTTACCTACAGCACTTTGGAGAGGTGTTATTTCTCTTATCCAGGGCTTGTACTCCTTTTAAATACAGCTTGTTCTGATACATACTTTCCAGTTTTGCCATGGTCTCCATGTGGGCATTCTTCAACTCTTCCAGCTTCAAGTAATACTCTTGATTTGAACTGTACATTTTGGAAAAGTCTATCCATTTGTCACAGTCTCTCTTTGGAGGGGAGGCCTGCTCTCTGTTGGTGTTTGAATCCAAGTCAAAGCCATCCTAGAAGAGATGTTTTTAAATTTTTTCTGCTGGAAGGAAGGGGAACAAGGTTCTTAATATTGCTTTCTCCTATTTAAGTCTAAGGAATGGTAACGTAACACAAATAGAGATACCTGTATACAAATGTTAATGTAGAAGCACACAGAATAATCTTATTGCATATTAATTTATATCCTAAGGGTCCTATTTAAAGCCTGTAAAAATTCCCAAGTCTGCCCTGTAATCAATATGTTTATAAGAGGAAATATGATGAAAAGGACTTACCAAAAGTAAAAAATAACTATTTTGTAAAGTGTAATTCTTCCTCGATTGCTATGCAGCTCTAAAAATGCCTTTATTTACAAGCAAACAGAACCTTCCCTGCCTCCTAGTTCCATAACCACTCTAAAAATAAGTCATTAGAGATGTGGTGCATACATATTTATGCCATTTCCATAACTTACTGTGAAATGACAGGAATTCTGCACAGCTTATATTTCCAATACTATTTGTCAGCTTGCAGCTGTGTGCAGTTAACATTCTTTAAGCATTTTTAAAGCTTACACGAGTCAGAGAAGTTATTGAAACCAGGTTAGCAGGAAGCATCACAAAAGCTTCATTTTGTTCCAAGCAAAAAAAAAAAAAAATCATCGGCTAGTTTCTTTATAAATACAATTAGAGTATTACTTTTCCACACCAGCAAGGGTATTTTAATAAGCTCTGACATAAAAAAAAAAAAAATTAAAAATCTTTTTTATGTTTTGTCAGGTTCTCGCTGCAAAACCCCTGAAGTGTTGGGATCCAGCACCCCGCACCTCCCGGAACCGGCGTGTTCAAACCCCGCTCGTTTCCTCGCCCCGCGGAGCGGCCCCAGCCCTTCCCAGGGAGAGCAGAGCAGGGCAGGCAGTGCCCCCTCCATCTGCTCCGCAAGCGCATTAAGGGATCGGCGCT